AACACACATACATTCATATGCATACTCACAAATATGCGGTTAAGGAAAATTTATTGAACTCTGCTAAGTTACACTTCAATGCAATTTACAATGCAACCTATCGTAGCTGCCTGATTTGCCGATCAGCTTATCGGATCGCTAGTATTTATCAGTGCTTTGTAGTTTACATAGCATAGTATACATTCAGGCGCACTGAGTACCAAATACGCAGTAGCATAGTTTTGTGGTGTCTCCGTTATACTTATTGGCTTTTGGAAGTATTATGCGAAATAGGGAGATGATGACTATTTTTAAACACTTAAAACTATTGTATTTCACTAAACATCAACGAGAAAGGCGATTCGGATGACAATATTTTTGGACCCTAAAAAATAAAACGAAAATCAAATATTGGATGGGTAATAAGTCTACGCAATGGCGGCCGCGATATCGGAGTGGTTAACATTGAATGTGAAGCATTGCGTACTTCCATCCGGAAGACTTATCCAAAAGTTATAAAAAATTAATTTTATTACAAAATTTAAGCCAAATTACCTAGTTGCAGTCGCCCCTATGACCTCGTTGCTTAATAGCTTCATAACTCGGCGAAGAACTTGTCCAATTGCTTTTGAGTCGCCCTTCGGTCATACAATTTTATACTATCAAGAGAGTTTTGCTGAGACCGAAACTAATAGTATTCAGGAAGCGCAAGGCTCGGACTATATGGCAGGTGCATCAAATTAAGCTCCGCCGATTTTTGCTTGACCATCAAAGATGTTTTTAGTCTGGCGTTGTGATAGTAAGCTGATCAATTGTTGATAGTAGCGCTCGTCTCGTCAGGTTTTAATTTCTCATAATCCAATTCCGCTTTACACTCAGCATTACCTAGTTTGCTGTCGGTTCGAGCTTTAAAGTCGTTTGTTCAGTGTCATCGTCCAGATTTTTTTTTTTCATTTTATCTACAACGGTTTTACCCATTTTTCATACCACAGGAAGAGCCGTTCCAAAAATGGTTCTCACCTTTCCTGCTGCCGAAACAACTTAATTTGTTTAATGAAGCTCCGGAGAATAAATAAACCAACAGATGAAAGCTCTGCAAGACAAGCGAAGAGGAAATTACCGAGAAAACGGTAGCTGAGCAGTAGCTGAGGTAAAGTGCCTGCAGTTGCGAGGAAAGTCGTCTGAGAAGCAGTCTCTCCTTCTACCATGAGTCCCCATAAGATAGTCTTCGATTATTACGCCTGTTGTTTTGAGGGTGAGGGATATTGTAGGCCCCATAATATCGGTAATGTGCACTTTTTGAGGACGCTCTCCTCTCTCTCTCCATCCTGGTGTAAAATTTTAGAAGTGGGGTGTATACAGATTTGCTTCCACAGTGCGCGTTCTGATTTCTCAATAGGCTACTTTGAGGCCTCATCATGCAACGAAACAAATGCGTAGTGTTTGAGTTTGCATATTTCCATTTTTTCACAGGCATTTTTTTTATTATATTTAATTGAAAAGTTAGAGGAAAAAAGATTTAAAAAAAGAGTAAGTGCTTGCAATTATTAAAAAACTTTTTAACCAATTCTCTCATTCATAAGGCTTTACACTACGTTGCTTTCGTGTAGTTAGTGCCAGAATAACTACAATATAATTTTATTGTTAACTAAAATTTTTAATTTTTATAAACTTTATTAGTGTTTTACCAAGCAACGAAAAACAATTTCAGAAATTTATAAAAACGAGTAGCTAAAATTTTAGTTCTTTTATTCTTAATTATATTTAGATCAAGTGGCCTGATCGAATGTCTATTCAATTAAAAATAAAATAAAATAAAATAAATTATTTGAAAAAATCATAAGCAATATGCGAATCCTTATTTCTTTTAATCCTTGTTTGCTTTACTGTAATTTAAAAATTCCAAAAACTGTAGAGAAATATTAAAAACCATTTGCAAAAGACAGCACCAAATGTGACGCCTTCGAAGAGAATATTTTGAAAAAGGCCAAGGCAAACAGTTTGGTATCGGATTTTTCCGACTAATTCTATCGTCCTTGGAACATGAAATTATTATTGGAAAATCTCCATACAAATATTTTTCTATACATTTGTATGCAAATATGCGGCTCAAAAGCGCTAACTACAAATTGCGCAGAGACATAAAGGACTTCCACGAATGCGCTTTGATGGGTCTTTTCTTAGAATGAATTATACAAAGATTTCTGAAATTTTCGCGGCGGCGCTGGATTTCAAAGCAAATTGACTACAAAATTTCGAACACAACTGTACCTATTTTAAATGTATATACATATATATATATAATATATACAATATATACATATGTATATTGAAATAACTCAAATGAAATAAGTCACATTTAAGGCAAGAAGTATAT